TGAGAACTCAAACCATGTTGATTTTTGCTGGTAAGTATTTGAATTGTTAGTTGACAGTCAAGCCAGTAGCTCTTTGAAAAACCTTTCTTTGGGAAAACTACAAAAGCAAAAATATAAGTACCTACAAATGCAAAGAAAAATAATACTACCTGAAATCCTACTGTATATGGATAACCACTGTTAATACTTGATGAATGTACTTTCACTTAGTAATCTGTGCAATCACAATTTTACATAAATGCTGTCATACCATACATTCTGTCTTTCAACCTGCTTCCTCAACAGTATGTCACAAATATATTTGTCATTAAATGTGGGTCTACTTCATTATTTTGATGATAGCATTAAACCACTATTGAACTATACTATTTCATATAATTTCATTAGTAATTTTTACTATTGAAATTTTAAGTTGTTTCTAGTTTATACTCCCACCAACAGAACATGTGAATTAAAGTTTCCTCATACTTGAGGCAAAACAGAGTTTTGTCACCCTTTTACCATCTTTGCTATACTGTAAGCAAAAAATAAGTTTCCATTGCATTTCATTTTTGATGACTGTAATTGAATGTCTTTTCATTAGTGTCCTGGCCATTTGTATTTCATTGTGAATTACTTGCTTATGACTATTGCCTGTTCTTTTTATCCTTAGTGATTTATTTTTATATATTTTTAAATGTTAGACTGTTAATCTTTAATATATGTTGCAAATGTGCTTCTCAGTTTGCCATTTATCTTGGAATCTTCATGGTAGTGTATTTTCTTCTTAAGGTGTTTTTGTGTATTTTGTTGCTGTCTAATATTTTTGCCGTCTTATAAAAATAATCACACTTTTCAATCTTTGCTCTATGTTTTTGAACTTTATGGTCATGCTTAGAAGGATTTTACCTGTCTGAGGTTTACATGAACTTTCACTTGTATTTTCACCTGGAACTTTTATATGTGGTTCATATTTAAAAACATTTAATCCGTCTATGTGAGATACAGTTTTTTATATTATGATATTTATGCTCTTCCTCCAAGTCTTCATTTGGCTGGCTTTTTCTTTGTTCAGACCTCTGCATAAGTGTCACACCTCAGAAAGGCCACCTGTGGCCACCCCATCTTTATAAAATAGCCTCTCTCTAATCATTCTGTCTGAAGAAGGCGGCCAATCCCATTGTTCTGCATCCTCTTCCCTGTTAAACTTCTTAGCACTGCCTACCTCATCGTGTTTGTTTTCTTGTTTATCTTATCTCCCTTCTCCCACTAGAATGCAGAGTCGATGAAAGCGGGATTCTTCTTTCTTGTTCATTGCAGTATCCCAGAACCCAGAACAGATTCTGACACATAATAGTCATCTATAAATATTTAAGTCAATGGCTGAATATTTAGAAAATTATTGTGGCATTTTTTCAGAGTGTTAACTTCTGTTAAAGTGTTGTGTGAAAGACTTACATCCATTAGTAGCTCTGAAATTATGAATTAAAAAGAAGGCAATAGGCTGGGCGCAGTGGCTCATGCCTGTAATACCGGTATTTTGGGACATAGGAAGATCACTTGAGTCCAAAACCAGCCTGAGCAACATAGTGAGACCCTATCCCTATAAAAGTTTTAAAAACTAGCCAGGCATGGGTGGGGCATGCCTGTAGTCCCAGCTATTCAGGAGGCTGAGATGTGAGGACCACTTGAACACAGGAGGTTGAGGCTGCAGTGAGCCATGATTGTGCCACTGCACTCCAGCGTGGGCAGCAGAGCAAGATCTTGTCTCAAAAAAAAAGGCAGTAGGAGAATATAATTCAATATAAAATAAAACTTTGTGGAGTCATCTAATGCCAGGGACATAGGTGGACCACACCTAATGATGATAAAAATAAGATTATTAATGAAGCAGTCAACATCAGCCTTTTGATACTATGCTTTTATCAATGCAATCTCATTTGTGTAAATGAGATTATGCTGATAATAGTGATGGCTCTCACTTTGGAGCACTCACCTGAGGTCAGGAGTTCAAGACCAGCCTGGCCAGCATGGCAAAACCCTGTCTCTACTAAAAATACAAAAATTAGCTGGGTGTGGTGGTGCACACCTGTAATCCCAGCTACTCGGGAGACTGAGGCAGCAGAATCGCTTGAATCTGGGAGGCAGAGGTTGCAGTGAGCAGAGATCATGCCACTGTACTGCAGCCTGGGACAGAGCAAGACTCCATCTGAAAAAAAAAAAAAAAAAAGAAGCAAAATCTGAATTTCACTCATCTTAAGTATGAACTGGCCCTAGTAACTTGTTTCCAACTAATAGAATGCAACAGAAGTGATGCTATATGACTTCTAGGACTTAGTTAGAATAAGTAATACAGCTTCTAACTGGCTTTCTCTCAGGAAGGTTCTCTGTGGAACCAAGCTTCTGTGCTGTGTGAGAAAGCCCTGGCCATGGCAACCACCAAACATGTGAGTGAGGAAGCCTTCTAGATGATTCCAGCCTAACCACCATCTGGCTAGAACTGGATGAGAGACCTGAGGGAGAGCTGCCTAGCTGAGTCCAGTCAACCCCCAGAATTGTGAGAGAAGATAATATATGATTGTTATTTTATCTCACTAAGTTTGGGATGGTTTGTTACATAGCAGTTGATAACTAGACCAGAGACCTTTCCTAGAAACACTGAAGAACATGTGCCAGGATAGTCCTGGACATCTCCATGTTTGCTGTTTGCTTCTCTGCTGTGCCCATTGCATGTGCTTTCTCCAAACCCCCTATTAACCAGAGGTTCTTAGCTACCAGAAGTTTTCCTGTGTTAGGATCTTGACACTTTTGAGACTCTTCGAAGTTATGAGACATGATGGAATTACTATCAAAAACTTGGCAAGCACAGTTACATCAGCAAGTGTTACTTTGTCAAGTAAGAAGGGAAATAGTGCAGCATGGCACTTAACCCTGTGCTCTTTAAGCTTTTACAGAATGTCAGTGGGTCATTCAAGAGACTTGTTAGCCACATGCATGTCACTTTGCTGATATTCAGTATTGATTATTCTTATAGGAGTTGTATGTAATTGTTTTGAGCTTAAAACAAAGAAAATGACTAGTTTATGGTTCTAATCTTTTGGATTTTTTTTTTTTTTTTTTTTTTTTTTTTTTTTTGAGATGGTGTTTCACTTTTGTCGCCCAGGCTGGAGTGCAGTGGCACGATCTCGGCTCACTGCAACTTCCACTCCCGGGTTCAAGCGATTCTCCATCCTCAACCTCCCAAGTAGCTGGGATTACAGGCTCCTGCCACCACACCCAGCTAATTTTTGTATTTTTAGTAGAGAGAGGGTTTCACTGTGTTGGCCAGGCTGGTTTTGAACTCCTGACCTCAGGTGATCCATCCACCTCGGCCTCCCAAAGTGCTGGGATTATAGGTGTGAGCCACCACGCCTGGCCTTGGATGTTTTAAAGTAAAATTTTTCCCACTGCAAGATAATGGATATGTGTTGTAGGAACTTTTGGAAACACAAGTAAGGCACAAAGGAAAAAATACCTTCATATTTCTCCTTTTCCCATCTCCCCAGAGACTTTTTTCTCCTTATTTGTTGGCATATGTCTTTCCATACTCTTCAATGCATATATATTCACAGGATAACATTATATGTGGTATTTTAGAACCACATTGCTAACATTCCATTTATCATGTTTTGTATTTGCATAGTATTCCATTTCGTAGTTGTACCATAATATCTTTAGACAATGCTTGTGGTCAAATAATTTCCCCCAATATTTTACTGTTATAAAAAATGTTTCGATGAATATTTTGGTCTAAAGTTGATGGATCAAGGAATATAGGGGTCGTTATAAGTTAACAAATACAGTGTCAGTTCATGGTACTACTCTGCTGAAAATCCCCCATGGCTCCCATCTTACTCAGCCAAAGCTAAGGTCTTTACCATGATCTAAAATACCCTCAGCCGTCTGGAGTATGCATGTATACATTCACACAGACATGTACATGCCACTCACTCCTGCTTCTCTAGCTCATCTTCTCCTGCTCACCCCTGACTTGTTCCCCTGAAGCTATTCCTAGAACACACCAGGAAGCAAGCCCCTGTGTCAGGGCCTTGGCACTTGTTCTTCCTTCTGCCTATAACAATTCCTCCAAGTATCCACAGCCTTCGTCTTTCACTTCCTTTGTTGCTTTGGCTCAGATATCGCCTTATCTGAGCACCCTTCCTTAATTATACAATACAAAATAAGTTCATGAACCTGCCCTCACCCCTGTATTCCCTGTTTCCTTTACCTTGTTCTATTTTTCTATAACATTTATCTGACAAATCTTAGGTTTGTTTATTATCACTCTTCTTCCAGAATATAAGCACTGTGAAGTCAAGGACTTTGTTAGTTTTGATCACTGTTGTATCCGTGGGTTCTAAAACACTGCCTGGCACATAGTTGGCACTCAGTAAGCTAAGAAATAATGAGACTTAACATATTGGGATTGTCACAGGGAGGTAAGTATACTCCACTTTTTCAAGGGGAGTATAAAGGATATCATTTTTAGGTGGGAGATGTTGGACATAGGAGTTTGTGAACCAAGAGACAGAGATAGAAGGATGTTATTTGGAGATACGGAGGTTATAAGTTTCAGAAGATTAGAAGTTCCAGGGATGTTTTAAAGTAAAATTTTTCCCATTGCAAAATAATAGGTATCTGTGGTAGGAACTTGTAGAAATACAAGTAAAGCACTTTTTGCCTACTTGGAGTGAGTGGGACTGGAATTGGGGGGAGGGGGCATGGAGAGGCTGCTTTTTTTCATTTTGTGTCTTTCTGTAAGATTTGAATTTAGATCATCTACACCAATTACTTAAATAATAAGAGCATGTTTGGACTTCCAGTTTCTGGTGATGGCTGGTTATGAAAACTTGCAGAAACAAAATAATGGATTTTTTAAAGTGAAGGACTAAAAAAACATTGAGGAACTGCCAGGCCAGTTTTTGGATAAAAGTCTATAACCAGGGAGGGAAATGGAATATTGGAACAAAAAGCTGCCTGTGCTGAGACAGCAGTTGCTGATACCACAAACACTTGTCTGCTGTTTCTGTGGCCTTGCTGAGCCAAAAAAAAAAAAAACATGTTAAAGCACAGAGCCCACCCAAGACAGGGTGTTTGCAGGAGACCCTACCAACAGGAATCGGATAACAAGGAGCTAAAGGTAGGGAGGAGTCAGAGCTGAACCAGTACCCTCTTCCCAGCAGTTATAATGAACTGTGGCTACCTTGGTGCTCTTGGAGCAGGGAGGAAAAGAAATAGAAAATACAATTTCCCTGGAAGGCCTGTGCATATCTGCTTTCCTGAAGATTAGCTTCTCAACTATACATAGCTGATTGGGCCAAGGATTCTCAAAATCTGAATTTGGCAGAAGCACAGCAAGATCTCTCTGGAAGAGGGCTCATCTCAAACGTCAGGAGACTCCTGTTAAATACTTATTCAAGAATAATGTGTGGCAAGCAATAAAGATTACAAGTTATGCAAGCAACTTGAATATAAATGAGAGTAGAAAATCACAGAAGCCCAGCTTCTTCCACTTAGCATAATCATTTGAGTTGTCCATGTTGTCATGTGTATCAGCAGCTTGGTCCTTTTAATTGCTGAGTGGCAATCCATAGTTTACTCATCCATTTACTAGTGGAAGATTTGTGTTGGTTCCAGTTTTTAGTGACAGTGGTTAAGCTGCTGTTAACATTCACCTAGAAGTAGTTTTTGTTTTGTTTTGTTTTGTTTTTGAGACAGAGTCTTGCTCTGTCGCCAGGCTGGAGTGCAGTGGCCCGATCTCGGCTCACTGCAACCTCCACCTCCCAGGTTCAAGTGATTCTTCTGCCTCAGCCTCCCAAGTAGCTGGGATTACAGGTGCGTGCCACCACGCCCAGCTAATTTTTGTATTTTTAATAGAGACTAGGTTTCACCATGTTGGTGAAGGCCAGGATGGTCTCAATCTCGTGACCTCGTGAGCTGCCTGCCTCAGCCTCCCAAAGTGCTGGGATTACAATAGGCGTGAGCCACTACGTCCGGCCTCACCTAGAAGTTTTTATGTGAATCAAAGATTTTGTTTCTCTTGAGTTCCTAGGAATGGGATTGCTGGTTATATGATAAATACGTATATTTACTTAGTAGGAAATTGCCAAACAGGTTTTCAAAGTGGTGGTGCCATTTTGCATTCCCACCAACAATGTATGAAAATTCCAGGTGATTGACATCCTCACCAGAATTTGGTATTGTCTGTGGTTTTGATGTTTTTGCTATTTTGTTGTTTTGACATGGCTATACGGTGCATTTCATTGTGTTTTTCATTTTTATTCTCCCAGTGCAAATGATGTTGTGTATTTTTTCATATTCTCCTTTGCTATAGATACATTTTCTTTAGGAAGTGTCTGTTCAACCCTTTGGCACATTTTTCAAAAACTGGATTTTGTTTTCTTACTGAAACTTGAGAATTCTTTATATATTCTTGATACAAATCCTTTATCAAAAATATGGTTTTGGCCAGGTGTGGTGGCTCATGCTTGTAATCCCAGCACTTTGGGAGGCCGAGGTGGGCAAATCACTTGAGCCCAGGAGTTCAAGACAAGCCTGGCCAGCATGGCGAAACCCCATCTCTACAAAAAATACAAAAAATTAGCCAGGCGTGGTGGCACACGCCTTTTAGTCCCAGCTACCTGGGAGGTTGAGACTGTAGTAAGCCATGATTGTGCTGCTGTACTTCAGCCTGGGAGATAGAGTGAGACCCTGTCTTTTTTTATTTATATATATATATTTATATTTATATTTATATATGTATATTTATATATGTATATTTATATATATAAATATAAACCTATATATGACATACGTATATATATGACTTGCAAATATTTTCTATTTTCTATTTTCTCCCAGTCTGTGGCTTGTTTTGTTTTCTTAGCAATGTCTTTTGAAGAGCAGACATTTAAAATTTTGATGGAAGTTCAATTTATTGGGTTTTTTTATTTTTAGAATTGTGCTTTTGGTGTCAAATCTAAGAAATCTTTGGCAAACCCAAAGTTACAAAGATCTGTTTTCTGGAAGAGAGGTGAGCAAACTTTTTTTGTAAAGGGCCAAACAGAAAATATTTTAGGCTTTACAGGTCATAGTCTCTGTTGTAGAATGAAAGCAGCCATAAAATACATAAATGAATAGTTGTTCAGTAAAACTTTATTTACAAAAACAGATAAAGATTTGGCCCATGAGCCTTAGTTTGCTAACTCCTGTTCTAGAAGATTTAGGTATTACAGTTAGGGTATGATCCATTTCTAGTTAATTTTTTAATGTGGTGCAAGCAATGGGTGGAGAGTTTTGTTTTGGGTATGTATATATACTTATTCTAGAATTACTTGTTTAAAAAACTACTCTTCACTGTATTATCTTTACAGCTTGTTTTAAATCAGTTATTCGTGTGTGGATTTATTTCTGAATTTTCTGCATCTGTGTCTGCCCCTTCTTTATGACTATACTGTCTTGATTATTGTGGCTTTGTAGTAAGTTTCGAAATTGGGTAGTGTGAGTCCTCCAGCTTTATTTTTTTTTCCTCAAATGTTTTAGTTTTTATAGCTCCTTTGCCCCTCCATATAAATTTTGGAATCAGCCTGTTAATTACTACCAGACTTCCTACTGGGATTTTGATTGGGATTGCATTTAACCTATAGATCAATTTTGACATCTTAACAATATTGAGTCCTGTTGCCAGTGAATACAGTATATCTCACCATTTATTTCAGTTGTTTTTTGGGGGTTTGTTGTTGTTGTTGTTTTGAGACAGAGTCTCGCTCTGTCGCCCAGGCTGGAGTGCAATGGTACGACCTTGGCTCACTGCAACATCCACCTCCTGGGTTCAAGTGATTCTCCTGCCTCAGCCTCCTGAGTAGCTGGGATTACAGACACATGCCACCACACCCAGATAATTTTTGTATTTTTAGTCGAGACAGGGTTTCACCATGTTGGTCAGGCTGGTCTCGAACTCCTGACCTCGTGATCCACCCGCCTCAGCTTCCCAAAGTGCTGAGATTACAGGTGTGAGCCACCACGCCCAGCCTATTTCAGTATTTTAAAGTTTCTTTCATCAGTGTTTTATGGTTTTCAATATACGGATCTTTTACATAATTCGATAGGTTTATACTTGAGTATTCGTAATTTTTAGTGCTGTTGTAAATAATACTGTTTTAAAGTTTTTAATATTCAGTTCACTGCTATTATATGAAAACAATTGATTTTTCTATATTTCCTTTTGTATCCTGTGATCTTCCTAAACTCACTTGTTCTAGTAGCTTTTTTTAAAGTAGATTCTCTGAAATTTTCTGCATAGACAATTATGTTATCCACAGATAGAAACTGTTTATTCCTTTCTAATCTCTTTACCTTTTATTTTCTTATTTTCTCTTTTTATTGTTTGCTCCTCCTTCCCTTCATGTGTCACTTTCCGCATCTGTCCCTTTTCTCCCCTTCCCTTTCTCACTTCTCCCTTATTACATTAGCAAATACGAATAGATCTCACTACTAACAGCCGAGAACCTTGCTTGTTCTTGAACTTAAAGGGAAAGCATTCAGTCTTTTGCTAAGAGGATTTGTTATGACTGGATATTGAATTTTGGCTAATGTTTTTTTTTCCCCCATCAGATGAAATGATCATATGATTTTTCTTTTTCTAATCAGCTGATAGGATGACTTCCTTGATTAATTTTTGAATGTTGACCCAACTTTTTATATATTTATGGATTCAATTTGCTAACATTTTGTTGAAGATTTTTTACATTTATGTCTGTGAAGGACATGGTCTGTTGTTTTCTTGCAGTATCTTTGGTTTTGGTGTCAGGGTAATGGAGGGCTCATTAAGAAAGTTGGGAAGTGTTCTCTCCTCTTTCATTTTCTGAAAGAGTTTGTGTAGAATGCTATAAAGTTTCCTCTATAATCTGTTGTACTGCTTTAGCTGCATCTCTCAAATTTAGATTTGTTAGTTGAAAAGAAGACATGTAGGAATGTGGGGTCATCTGTATTGGGAGTGTAAATGGTATGGTTTCGGTCTGTGACCCCACCCAAATCTCACCTTGAATTGTAATAATCCCCACATGTCATGAGAGGGACCCGGTGGGAGGTAATTCATTCATGGGGGCGAGTCTTTCCCATGCTATTCTCGTGTTAGTGAATAAGTCTCATGAGATCTGATGGTTTTATAAAGTGGAGTTCTCCTGTAGATGCCCTCTTGCCTGCTACCATGTAAAATGTGACTTTGCTTCTCCTTGCCTTCTGCCATTGATTGTGAGGCCTCCCCAACCATTTGGAACTGTGAATCCATTTAGCCTCTTTCCTTTATAAATTACCCAGTCTTGGGTATGTCTTTATTAGCAGTGTGAGAACAGATTAATACAGTAACATACATCACAATAGATATGAGCCAACTACTTGTGCCTTGAGGTGGGCAGATTTCCTGAGTGAATGTAAACAGTTCTTGCAAATCAGACTGAAGAATCTGAAAAGAACCATCTGACCATGACCAGAAGGCTAGCCCCAGTATTTGTTTCCACTCCTAGTAAGCTGTGCTAAAATGTTTTCAGCAGGAAGTATTTTGTTGACTTTGGGTTCGGTTCCAAGTTTTAAAAGTCTGAAGGTTGGGGCTAACAAACATGAGGAAGCTTGGAATGTGAGAAGGGACCTGTACAAGAAAATCAACCATCTAAGTTATTTAAAGTAACAGCTGTTAATTTTTATCAGTGAGGTCAGGTCGTAGATAAAAACAGTCCAATGCCTGTAATCCCAACACTTCGGGAGGCCGAGGCAGGCAGATAACCTTAGGTCAGAGTTCGAGACCAGCCTGGGCAACATGGAGAAACCCCATCTCTACCAAAAATATAAAAATCAGCTGGGCGTGGTGGCACGCACCTGTAATCCCAGCTACTCGGGAGGCTGAGGCAGGAGAATCACTTGAACCTGGAGGCGAAGGTTGCAGTGAGCCGAGATCATGCTAGTGCACTCCAGCCTGGGTGACAGAGCAAGACTCTGTCTCAAAAAAAAAAAAAAAAAAAAAATCCAGCCATAATTGATTTAGATTTATAGAGTAGGAGCTACAGACTGAGAAGAACAAACGAGAATTTGCCTTTTTTACATGGCGTAGAAGGATCATGGGAGAATGAAATTATAACAGTGTGA